TATCAATATTTGGATATCAATTACAATACATGCAACGCAATACGGTGATAACGATTGATGACATTCAACTGATTAACATATTAAACACTTTCAAGGCTATCCGAAGATTTCCCAAGGAACTTTAATATACAAAGTTTACAGAATTCAATGCCTAAACGAAAAACATAAAAGGCAAAAGCTGATACCCTAACAGAAATAGTTATAATATTAATCCTATAAGACAATCTATATATTAAGGTATATATAACAACAAAGCAGATAAAGATTGACAATAAGGATATCCTTATACAAATAGAAAAATCCTGTGAACTGAGGCAAAAGGCTATTAACAAGATTAGTGTATATTGGGATCGCTTTCAAAAAGGCATTACATTTGCTACAATCCTCATTATGATTTATGGAATTAAGTTTCAGAATGAGCTTTTCAAGCTAGTCAGAATAGTTGATTTTGAGATAGTACTGGAATTAGTCAACAGAGAACTTATATATAGATTGATAGCAAAACCAAAAGCAGGTATCCGGGTCAATAGATATCTGATGCCCTTTGAATTCAAGAGTACCCTTAGAATTCTTGATAAAGATCTTCCCCGATATTGTTTTTAAATGGGATGATGAGTAACGATATAAACTCAACCTCCGATATAATATAATTGGTATACTAGGAAAGGCTAGTATAGACTATTCCGAGGATACCCTACCTAGTGGAAATTCTATTATTGAATTTCAAAATGTCCCATCTTCTTTATCTTTCGAAGATATTATCACTAATCTGGAAAGGTAGAAGAGATTCGGTATACTAATAGTTGATAAAGATATCGAGCCCCTCTAGAATGTCTAATGGATAAGATTGTACCTCGACAAGGTAATTTTTCAGAGAAGGAAAGTAATATATTAGAGGATAAGGAGAAGACAGATATCGTCTAACTCAAAGCTTGTAAGTGTGGTTAAGAGGTATTAAATTCTCAGGATTAATTTTATATACTTAAAAAGAAATATATTATAAAGCAAATCGATTGATAAATAATGATAATACTAATTGATCAAATACTTTTTAATCTTTGTAGGTATTATATTTACTAACTTGTTAGTATTCTTGATCTCAAAGTGGTTTGTATTAATTGAAAAGTATTATTCAAATGCCTTTAGTATGTATACAAGAATTGGGATCGAATTGACAATATCTGTATTCACAAAAAGTACTTCTATTGGTTTAAGGAAAGCCTTATAGCTAGTAAAGAACAAAGAAATAAACTCTTCGATATTTTCAAATTCAAATCTGTCAACCGAAATACTGCTGTATTAGTATTAGCACAAGCTTTTTTGGCTGGGTTAACCAATGTTCATAAGATTGGTGCTTATGTACCAAAGAAATAATATCTTTATTTTCACGAGGAGACTTTTATACTATTGATTCAAGAATCTATAAAAATGTATTACTACTATAACCGCTACAAAAGATGAGCCTCAACTTCGCCTATTATATTACTATTCCCTTTAACAATAAGTCTCCCAATGAGATTTAAAAATTTAGCGAAATATTGCGTTACAGCATATAAATCGAGAGTTCCGTTTAATTTCTATTTCTTTTTCTGTAATTATTATACAAACCAGTAAAGCTTTTGATTATACCTTTGTATATAGTAATACAAGAGAACTATATGCAAAAAGACAATATAATATATATTAATAATCTTATTGTGTATATTATCTATTTAATAAATAAAGGTATTAACAAATTGATATATAGAGTTTGTTATAGCAAAATAAAAACAGAAACCGAACAAAATGTAACATGGTGTAAACTTGCCAAAAAAACTTTTGGAAAGTTAATAGACTCTTCGAAAAAGGGGTACTTTTAAGATATAATCTCGAAAAAAAAGTATGTGAGCTACACTAAGCTAATCAAAATCTGGATAATTCGATGAAATAAGCACACATCTTGGGCTTTTATTATTGATAATAACCTGGTGAGCTTTAGGTGGAGTATGAATGGTTAAGGAAACAAACTGCTTACTGTATCCATCATTTTATATACTATAATAAAACTAATTCCTGGTAACCGTTTAAATTCTATTCTCAGGAATAAAATGAAATACAAAGATATTATAGAAGCCCACCGCGACTTGAAACCTATCTTCAACAAACACATTACTGGTAATAAATAATATGAAATTCCCGGATTCCTGGTTAAATATCACTTAACTTTACAAAACCTTGTTGAACAAGTTCTTGTTGATAAACTCTTTTAGGATAATATATCTGTTTTTAATAAGGTAATAAGACTTTTTATTATAAATAATCAGGATTTAACTAATGGTACAAAAAGTATACAAAAGTTATTAAAGTTTTTCTTACATAGATATTTGATAATATTAAGTTTATTGAGAAAAGTTATAAGAACAAGTTTTATTTTGAAATCATTGAGAATCTCTCAAAAGATGAGCATAAAAGCATATATATTGAATCAGATAGTAAAAGAGAAATCGAACCCATTTTGTTTAGTAATAATGAGAACTCTGATTCTAATCTAAACCAAGATTTAGATGAAAATCCGGATAAGAATCCAGATCCAGGTTTAAGCCAAAACAAAGCTGGATCTTCGAGTACTTCAAGATATAGGAGGCCTAAGTGTAAAGAACCCTGGAGATAGAGAAGAAATTGAAATCTGAAATATAAAAGAGAATTTTTAAGTAATGTAAATAGGATAAGAGTATTGAAACTCCAAATCGATGAAGCAATGGGTTCAACAAAGAGCTCCAAAGATAACTTTAAGCTATTAAACTATTAGTTTATTATAACTTTATTAAAATTCAGCAAAATTATATTGATTGATATTAAGAACTGATCAACAAATCACTGTTCCTGGGAGTATCAGTGTCTATATCTTTTTTTATTTGTTCTTCTTATTTCTTTTTTCTTTAAAATATGCTTTTTTTTTCTTTTGACTTGATTGGGATGATTAACCTTTCTATATAGAAAGGAATATGAGTGAAACTTAATACTAATCACGTGACCTCTTTTTGTAGCTAGTATTTATAGGTTTTCTTTATATAGTTTAAAGAAAGTAATTAGTTTCCACCCATTTTCTCGTACATTTTGTGATATGCTATGTAGAGCCTTCTCCTCCTCTCCTTTATCGGAGATACTACGTCTTAGTGACTTATCTGTAGTATTTGCGAAGGATTACTTTACGACCCTACCACCTTCTACTCATTTACAATAATAGCAATAATAAACAAAAGAGGTTTAGCTAATACTTTCGCTTGTAATTCGATTTTGCGTGTAGCAATTTCCAAATGAGTGATTTGAAAGATAATAATATTCGAAACTGTAATAAGCTTTCCCTTTTCAATATATTCTCTAAAGATCTCTAAAAAATCTAAAAGCTTGAATTGTTTTTCGCATAATTAGAAAAGAAAGGAAGCTAACACTATAAGATCTCTAGCTTTTAAAATAGTTTCCTTGGATATATTTAGGTTATTTTGGATTTTAGATTGTTTATTCTGATTATTAAAGGGTATTGTAGAGCCCCGTTTTTTATTCTGATTAAATATATAGATAGTATTAATTGTATCTTGAATAATAAAAGAGTTATTAAGTAAATTGAATTCTTCAAATCTTTTTTTAGAACTAATTGACTAATTAGTTGATAGAATAAGGCTAGAGATTTCGAATTGAGAGTTTTTAGAAAGCAAAGAAAAACTTAAAGATATTAGAATACCTAGAATAATAATAAAATAAGTGTTTAATATAATAAAGGCTTTAAAAGAAGCCTTCATCATAACCGTATCCCTAAATATTGATGAATTGTTAAAAGAGTTTATATTAAAAATCTAGTTCTTATTTTAATAATTCGGAGTGAGAAAATTTTATACGAATTTTTGTATATATTTTGTGTTCGGAGTATCGATAACAATAGTACAACAACTACTAGTCAGAATCACTGGGGGGCAATTACAATCAATTTGGTTTAATAACTATAATCTAAATCGATCACGAACAGGTCGTATTTCGAAGAAAAAGTTTCCTTCGAAATTTGTTGTGTGTCATTGTCATTGTTCTCATCACTATCTATATCGATATTTGTTGAAAGCCTCTCATCGGTTTTGAAATCCTACTATATATTATAAATTAATATAATTAAAATAAGCTTTATTTGAATCAAATATCTATATATAGCTTTTCTTTTTTTGTAGAGAATATCTTCTTCTGATTGAAGGTAATGTTGTTATTGTAGAAGGAGCTGGATAGTAAATTTCTAATAAGAAAAGAGAAAGAGGTATTATAATTTCGAAGTTGGCTTTGAGATTCGATTGCTTTTGCTATAAGTTTAGGCTTTCGTTTGAAATAACGAATTGAGAGAAAAGGACTTCGAGTTCGAGATTTTCTACCTCTTTTTTATACAGATATAAACCTTCGATTACCATCATCGTCAATAATTTTCGACTTCCTAAACACTTTCGAAATGTTTTGAATAATAATTGCATCATTAACTATTGAAATAATTTTATATATAAAAAATAGCTTCAAAAATACTTCAAAAAAAGATTCTTTCTTTGAAAAGAAAAGAAAAAAGAAAAATAAAATCAAAATATATTTCTTTTTAATTCTAAGTACTTTTTCAAGATTATTATTTTATTAAAGCTTTTTATATAGTTTTCAATTTTAAATATAGGGTTTTAATATCGAATTGAAATTTAAATTAAATATTCTAAAAAAACCACAGATTATTTAACAGATTTGATATTCAAACTATAAAACCACAGATTAATAATCCACTTTTTTTGAAGCGGATTAATATTACCGCGAAATCCGCGATAGCACAAAGTGCAGATTATTTCAGCGGATTCAGCACGGATTTTACATCCAAACTAGCCCTTAACATCTTCCACCAAGTTTCCCATCCAAATCACTCCATTTTGACACGTTTGCTACCAGACTTGTCTTTGTCTTCCTTCCTTTGCTTCTTTCTCTTCTTATTGTTGAGTAAGCTTAATTCGTTAGAGACTTGGCTTAGGAGTTCCAGCTTTGCTTTATACAGATCCTCATCCACACTGGACTCGGAGTCATCATACTCTCCTTCGATTTTGTTGTAAATTTCTTTCTCTCTCTCGCTGTCATCTTCAATCTTGATCGCCCTCTCCTTTTGTCCTTCACTGTCATCCTCAATCTTGATGACTCTCTCATTTTCCACCTTGATAACACTCTCAATCTCATCCCCACTGCCATCTTTAGTTTTGATGACTCTCCTATTTTCAACCACAATAATACTCTCATTTTCACTCTCACTTCCACTTTCATTTTCTTTGACGTCTCTTTTTTCGATTTCATCCCTCGCCAGTATTCGTTTTCTTCTTAATTCGTATCCTTTTTCCGCTTTCTTTCCTACCGGAGTCTCCTTGATGACAGATTTACGCTTCTGTGATATCGGTTTCACAATTGTTAAGATCTCTCCATCACTGTCTGAGTCGATGGTGGTGATATTGCTTCTGGTAGAAGACTTGATGACTATCGGTGTATGGCTGGTATCGATAGCCGGCTCATCCATGGTAACAGTGAGGGTGCTCTGGCTCGAGGGCTCATCTGTGAAGAAGGTTGATGTAGTGCGGACCTCCCCGTCATTACAACGGCCAAGCAACCCACATGGCATCATACTAACACCAAAGCATCTCATGAATGATAAAGTGCATTGAGGTGTCTCGATAGTCCTACTGCTCTTTAGTACCTCCAAAGCCAGCATGATATCCCTGGACAAAAGCTCAGGATCTGGACTTATCCTCCGAGGGTGACGCAGGTCGTCATACCTGATGCGGCGTGCGATCATCTCAGCATTCAAGGCTCGACAAACTTCTCGTTCTGTGCGTCGCAGAATAAAGCATTTAGCAAAGTTCATATTGAAAACGCTTTTCTTGAAGTAGTCAAGTCGGCTGTAGAAGTAATTTCGGATAGCAACTTTTCGCTCAGATGTCCCTCGGAGCCTTTTTTGCACTGATCTCATCTTTTTTCGTGAGTAAGAGTTCATTTTGGCAAATTCTGAGAATTCCCGGCTCAGCTCCTCTACATCTTTCTTTGTTAAATTGACCGCTCGGTAATATTTCATTTCTTCCTCAAGCCCCTGAAGGCTTGTCACAAGCTTGTCCCAGTCCATATCCGAAAGCTTTGCCATCATCACCACCTTTTTACTTTCCTGTACGAATAAATGCTTCTGAGTATCAGGAACGTCACAACTCTTGATATATTCGGTAACCTGGAGAAGAGGAACGTCATCATCTGCCAGTACAATTTTGGCAAATTTGTCTTGAAAGCTAGGGTTATAGTTTACGGTACGCCGATTGGAATTATTCTGAATTATATGTTTTCTGTCCACAAGTTGAGCATTTGGACTTTGGACGCGTTTGGGCTCCGTAGTATGTTCATCGTCATTGTCTTCACTTGTGTGATGTTCTGTATCAGCAACTGCTTGATTATCTAGGCTTTGGGAAAAGTCGAGCTTCGCGCTACACTGATCGGGGCTAATTTCGTTCGTGTTTGCATCTGGCGTGGGTGAGTGGGTTGAAGTCGTACTGCTGTACTGAGACACTGTTGCACAAGTCTCAGCAGGCGAAATGGCAGTCCTGAGCCATCTGAGGAAGCTCATTGTGATGTGCTTTGTTATTGAAAACGCGCTTTTCGATGGATTTGAGGGTGCGAAGACACTTATATCTGCTGTTGTTCTCTTGTTTGCCATCCTGCAGTTATCCACGAGTCTAATCGTTTTGGGAAACATGGTGGTACAAACATTTTCCTACATATTAGATCGAAATCATATTTCTCAGGCAAGTCATAATTATGTTTTTATCGATGTTGGTTTGTTTCAATGGCAATAGAAGAAATTGTTCTTTAAGATGATATAAACTAGAATCTGACAACTATCTATCTATATACTTATCAAAAACCGAAACATTCAACTGTAAATATCGCGAATTACAATACTCGACTTGTAATCCTCTAATTGAAATAACCTTGAAGTCTTTACGAATAGTAGCATTATCTTGAAGAGGAGATTAGTTGTATGTGTATTATATATAAAGTGCAAATGAGAAGATTCTTAAGAGGAAATAATTGTTTTCATACAATGTGACTACTTGAGTTATACTCGTACCTATAATGAAAGTATAAAATTACTTGAGTAGGTTAGATGAGGTCATTTCTCTACATTATCGTTGAATTGTTTTACATCTAAAAATATCCTCTCAAGTGGCTGAACGTATCGTGACGCCACTCCTACCATACGCCACATTTTGCTATGACGTTTCGGGAAGGGGCACACGAGACCTCGGTCCGTTCCAAAATAATGCCCAAAACTTTCCGATAAATTTATTTTTACCAAGTTTTTGCTCACATTAACATTAATATAATATAGAAGTCAATCACATAGCTCAAATAGCTAGATTTATAGATCTCTGAATAGATTCATATTTCTTTTCTCTTTCTCTCATCAAAAATCGCAACAGTGTCTTCAATTCCTAACCACATTCTTCATTATATCATCAAACTCCCTTTGCGACTTCGATTGCCACTTGCTCCAAACAAAACAACATTACAACCACCACAAATGACATCCTACTTCTCACGACTAAGTCCAATTCCAGGATTTCCGGAATATACTGGGCCTCATAAAGTAGGGACAATTGATGTTGAGATCCCTATTTCTGAACTCGATTCTCCAGCCCAAGCACCAAGCAATGCAGGAAATATTCCAACAATTCAATATCGAATCTTCTACCCATGCGAAACGGAAACGAAACACAAGGCAAAGAGTGTGAATTGGATACCCGCGCCCCAAAGAGATTATATAAGTGCATATTCTAGGTTTTTGGGAGCTGGCAGCACATTGGCAGAGGTTATATCGTAAGTTAGGGTGATTCTTAGGATAAGGGGCAAATGCTGATATTTCGGGCACAATAGATATTTCCCAAGATTACTTCATTATGTTACGATTCCAGTTCGCAAGAACGCGCCTCTCCTGCAACCAAAGACAAGCGATAACCGTTGGCCTGTTATGATATTTTCGCACGGATTGGGTGGTTCAAGAAATGCGTATTCACACATTGTAGGATCAGTGGCAAGCCATGGGATGATAGTTATTGCACCAGAACATCGAGATGGTTCAACTCCTATATCCTATATCCGAGAACCACCATCCGATTCTTCGACGGATAAAGAAAAGCATTCAAAGAAACAAGTCAAAAGAACGATCGACTATGTCAAATTGTCGCATACACCGAGTCCGGAAGTTGAGGAAGGAAGAAATGAACAATTGAAGATTCGACTTTGGGAGATGGGGTTGATTCATGACAGTTTATTGAAATTGGATGAAGGAAAGCAAATTACGAACCTCAATACATCTTCGACTTCGTTATCGATATTCAAAGATAAAATGAATGTTCATGAACCTGGGAAGATCACTTTCGCAGGTCATTCTTTTGGAGCAGCAACAGTGGTTCAGTTCATAAAATCAGTCTTCTATGCGCCTGACGCAACTTCTGCTCCAAAATCTTATAAACCAGTTTATGAGCCATCTCCAAATTCTCTCATCTGCTCTCAAATTACACCAAACAATCCGATCGTACTTCTGGATTGTTGGTGTTTCCCTCTTCGCTCCCAAGCAACCCGCTGGTTATGGGATCATCCTCTTCCGTCATACGCTCCCTCTGGGCCTGGCGGTTCTGCAATTCTCGCAGTCGAATCCCAAGCTTTCTATAAATGGACCGAGCATTTCAACGCTACTAAAAGACTTCTTTCTGCCGATCCATCCTCTCATAACCCTTCCAGAGATGGACAATCAGAACCACATTTCTATTATCCTACTTCGAGTGCGCATCTTAGTCAATCAGATTTCGGCGTCCTTTTCCCATGGGTCACGAAAAAGGTATTCGCGGCAGAGGAACCAGAGAGAATCATGAAATTGAATGTTAGAGCGATTGTGCAATTACTTAGAGAAAGAGGGGTAGAAGTGGGTAAAACTTGTAAAGAAGATATGGAATTAGAGGGAGGAGAAGAGGAGACAGACAATGATTTGAAGATCTTTGGAAAGGATGGGGGAGTTAGAGGGTGGAATTGGTTGAGTGTTTATGATAATGCGGGGACAGGAAAGCTGGATGAGGGAGAGGAATCGGAAGTCGCGGATAAAAAGTTGGATGGAAAACAAGTTGAGGTTGGGAAGGAAGAGGGAAACGGCGAGAAAAGTATTGATGTGGAACCCGCGGATGTGGTTATGACAAATGAGGTTGCCGCGAGCACGGAGTCAAAATTGTGAGGAACATGCTGTGGAAGACTACCTAGTTAGTGGTCTGCACACATAAGCTCCTGGTGGCTGATTTTTAGAAGGCGATTCTTTGTGGTTATTTAGATTTCATTAGGGCGGTTCTTTTGATTTATAGTTTTGGGTGTGGACCACAATTGATTCTGGCGTTGGTGTTTGAGAGAGGAGTCTAACCAGAGAGTTGGAAAGACGGAGATGATAAAGGGCTATGAATAGAGATCTTGCATATGAATTAGATGGAATAGAACCAAGCAATAGACCATATACATAAGACATTTCATCATCATATCCCTCAATGGTAGTATACCTCCGAGACGATTGTTCCGCAATGTGTGGTTCATAGATACATATCTGGGGATGGTCAATCTTCGCAACTTCTCGCTTAACCATTTAGGCTAATGACGTATCACAAGGAAATCGAGCGCTATTCTATTCCAATTTAGGAGATGCTAATACTCTTGGCACAGAATATCTAATCAGCTTGTGAATTGGAGAGAACGAGAGAAGGATGCTCTGTGCAAGGAATTTATGCATGAGAGAACAGGATCATAGCAATCTATTCTCCACAGGTTATGTGCTCACATAGTGTCTAGATAGGCATACAATAGAATCTGTGAAACACCGTCTGAGTTTCTCCAGTAGCTGCACAAACCCCCAGCGCGGAAGTCTTAGCGTCAGGATTTCCACTCTGGTGTACACTGCATTTATTGTGGGAAGCTTGGACGCGGGAATTAGATAACTGGGGATTATTTGTCACATACAGAGCTTTCTGCGTGTGATTTGGGGATTGAGTATTTGATCTCCTGCGCCGCGGAAAATGCTTCTGCATGGTGATTTTCTCGCCAGTTTGGGGGTATCGGATTTGCGTGGATTGTTAGCGTGGTTTTTTGTGGAATTGGGGGAGGAGAAATCACGTTTGTATGATACGGAGCTTTCTGCGTGTCGAATAAGGGGTGTAGAATTTGACTGTCTGCGGCTGAGAAAATGCGTCTAGAAGTCTTGGCAGGGTGATTTTTTCAGCAGCTCCGGAATATCGGATATGCGTGGATTGTTAGCGTGGTTTTTTGTGAAATTTGGGGAGGGGAGAAAAAAACTCACAAATACGCAAAAGGAGAAAAAGGTGAAATGGTTCGTTCGTGTCGATTCGTGATCACTTAGCTTCTCATTTGAGAATTTCCAGCTGGCACCAACGGGGAGGTGTGATCAAGCCAGCCGCCCTATTGACGAATTAGCAGTTAGCGGGAGGGATACTTATCTTGTCCTTGAAAAATGGGAGTGGGTGAGGGAGAGGCGCTGATGGCCCCGGAGGGGGCCATGAAAAAAAAAAGGGAGATAGGTGAGAGGATATCGCTAGAGGAGCCCAGAGGGGCTCCAGGGAAAAAAAGGATGGTTAAGTGGGAAAATATCGCTAATGGAGCCGGAAATGTCCATGGAGGGAAAAAAAATGGTTAAGTGGAAAAATATCGCTAGAGGAGCCCAGAGGGGCTCCGTGAAAAAAGAGCAAAGGATAAATAAATTAGATTCGCTGGTGGAAGGAGATCCACGGTGTGATTTTTTGTTTGTAAAGGTTTTTTGGTATGAAAGAAAGGAAAGAGCCCAGAGAGATAAATGAAGAAAAGGAAAAAAAGGAAAAAAAGGAAAAAAGGAAAAAAAGGAAAAAAAAAAGGGAAAAGAAGGAAAAACTCCAGGCGCCGATAAGAACAAAGGAAATTTTTTGGTGATTGTTTTGTATTTTGAATTTTTTTTGGTGCGGGATGGCGTTTTTTTGGTTATATGGATATGTATCTTCTGTTAGCAGAAGAAGAAAAAAAGACAGAAAAGTGTCGTAAGAGAAGAAGAGGTGGGGGATTAGTCCACCTCACAGAGCCATCCCGCGAGCTCTGTCTTCATGCCCCCGAAGAGCCACAAGGGTCTGAATCCTACGGGGAGGATTGATGACCCGCAAAGATTGCCTGCAACGTTAGGATAATCAAAACAAGGGGAATAGGGATGGTGCCACGTAGCTGGATGTTGTTTTGGGGCCTTGGGCGTGGCCCAGGCGAAATAGACCGAAGCGTATCGGTCGAAGTTGAATGTCTCCATGGAAGGCATTGTGAGATCGATGGTGGTGAAGGTGGTTGGCGTGGTTGTTGTGGTGGTGGTGAAAGATGTGAGTGAAAGAGGTGAATGGTTGAATGGTTGATTGTGAGCTTGAAAGTTTGATTGTAAAAAGAGTTAATCGTTTTCGTACGAAGAAGAAAAGAGGATTGATTGAAAGGGAAGAGCCCTTTATATAGGCAAATTTGGCCTTCTTTTGTCCGGATTCTTACGGGGCTAAATTAAAGCTAACGTTCATAATGTCGCTAATTTAGGGCAAAAAAAGTTGATCGCTGGAGCCCCGCCCTAGATCTACAAGTTAGATGTAGATCATGAGAAAAATTTAATGTGTCAATACGGCTCGGGTAACTAGCTTATTTGAGAACATAGGTTGACTTGAGATATTGAAGCACTATGAAATGCTGTAATACTTTGGGACATTTGATCTACGTAAAAAACTGAATTTGATCTGGACATCGAATGACTATGAAAATCTATACTGTTCTGAAACATTCGATCTACGTGAAAAACTGAAATGAATCTAAGTATTGAATTACTATAGTAATCTATAATGATTTGGAACATTCAAACTATGTAAAAGTCCGGTTTAAATCTAGACATTGAATCAATACAAAATATTCTCTTAACACGAGATGTTAAATTCATTTTGGATATTCAATCCATCCGCAACAATCATAGATGGAAATCCGAAGTCGTTACTTCGCCCCCACATTGTCATCAGTCAATCGTGCCGAGATACTAAAAGTACATCACGCTAGCAGTACATCACGCTAAATGATTGACAGCCGACAATCCCGTTACAAACCTAAAAGTACATGACATCAGCCCTACCATGCGGCCCCGAAACTCAATGATCTTCGTTGATACCCGTAAATCTAACCTCTACAGGAATTCATGATGACTATCCTATCGTATAAAGAATGACTCACAGAAGATTTCAAAACTTAGTACATCAAATCTCGGAAAACCCTGCGGATTCACCCGAAGATTGTCGTAACTAGTAATGAGTGTGCGCTTCGGAACGGGTTTTAGTGCATATGCACATGTCATTACGAAATCAAAGTACATCTGGAGATCCGCTAGAAAATCCCTTCAAACGAAGCACGCGTGATGATCTTAGTATAATTCATTATTTGACGTAAGGAACTGTCATGAAGATCATTGAGATTACGATAAATGGGATTCTATCTTGTGCTTAGCAATGATCATCGCGACTTCTATCTTGATTATTGAAATTTGAGTTTCAGCTCAGATAAATTTATAGTTTGAGTAGAAATGCCTATAATGAAATGTCATTGTGGCGGGTATGAGGCATCCGTAAGAGCATCGATGACGTAATGAAAGAGATGAGGATCACGAGGATGATCAGAATTTGCCAGTAAAGATGTACACACTGAGGATCTCATGAGATCTTCAATCTCCAGATAGAATGTAGATGTAATATAAGCCGCTCGCAATATGGTGTTGGTACCGTACCGTTTGTATTCAATCTCGCCGGCGGTTTAAGATATCGATATCCGTTTCTTAACCGAAAAGAGAAACACAGCCTGATGCAAAAGGCCGATAGTTTCTGCGGTCATTCAATTTGAAGTTCCTCAGATACATATAGAACACGTCGTAGAGATATAGAGAGTGAATCCAGCTCGTTCAAAACACATGCAGGACTGAAATACTGGAAACAAAAAGAATTGAAGTAGCTTCCACCACTGATATTGTGTTATATAAGGAAATAGATGTAAACGTCATCAGCTGCAGAGTCACAAATAGACCCTTGCTAGTATCATTGAAGAAGAAGAAAAGAAGAAGACTGTACTCTGAAGCTAAGTACACTTTCACTTGCACGATGAGCAACATATCATTACAAAGCTCTTAGAAGTATCAAATACTTCGAAATTAATAGAATAAGTAATCTAGAAAAAGACAGAACAGTATTTTGAAATTTACAAATCCTTATCCAAAGCTTGTGCCTGATTCATCGCCCAATAAGTCCCTCTTAACTCCATTAATTCTAGGTGTGTGCCTCTCTCAACAATTCTTCCCTTCACGAGTACTAAAATACAATCCGCGTTTCTAATGGTCGCAAGTCTATGTGCCACTGTAATCGTGGTAGTCTGACCTGAGATTCGATTCAAAGCATCGAGTACTTCCTTCTCGCTCAAAGAGTCAAGCGCACTGGTCGCTTCATCTAACAACAAAATTCTGGGTTGACGTACAAGAGCTCGAGCAAGTGCTATTCGTTGCCTCTGACCTCCGCTGAAACCGAAACCTTTCTCTCCACATTGTGTGTTGTAACCTTCTGGTAGAGAAATGATGAAGTCGTGTATGTTTGCATCCTTTGCAGCATTTTCGAGGCGTTCATCAATCGAAGACAAATCGCGAACACCAAGAAGAATGTTTTCTCGAAGAGTACCTTCAAACAAGGTGGTGTTTTGAGAGACTAGACCCGTTTGACTGCGATGATACTGGGTATCAATTTCATTCAAGGAAGATGAATTGATGAAAATGGATCCATTAGTGATTGTGTAAAACTTCTCTAGTAAGGCAATGATGGTAGACTTTCCAGAGCCCGAGGGGCCAACAATCGCTAGATTTTGGCCTGGTTCAATCATAAAATCAATCTCTTTCAGAACTGCATGTTGTGAAGAAGCTGGATAGCTAAATTCGACGCCCTGAAACTTGATAGACACTGGAGTGTTTCTGACTTTCTCGTCATCATAATTGCGTTGCTGAGATGTGGTTCCGTCAGTTATGGAAGCTGCTCTTGATCTTAAGCCGAGAATTTTGTTAATGGAATGGCCTGCTTGCGATATACCTAGAATTTTATAAGCTGATTGATTCTTGAATGCGTTGAAACACTTACTACTCGAACTTGCGAAAAATTCAGCTGCACCTTCTCCGCCGGACAATATCGCCAAGAAAACGATCCATAGTTCAACAGTTTCCAGCTTGCCATTGGCTAGTAGGTTACCTCCGTACCAGAATATCAGAGCCATACCTATATAAAAATCAGTGTTAATTGAAGTAGTATACAGAGTCAAGAAATAAATTTACCAAGAAAAGCTCCACTCTCCGAAAATGCAAACAGCGGCATTGTTACTAGAATATTCTTATAGAAGACCGGAAGAGATTCTCGCATTCTCTTGTCTAGTTGGAGACAAACTTCGTCCTCCATAGTCAAAGCTGCCACTGTTCGTACTGCTCCGATGACTTCTGACGCATATTGTGCACTGTTAAGTAGAGGCCCAGAGAGTGTTTTACTTTTTGCAGAGGCTGAGCGAACTCGAAGGTAACCGGCCAAAAGAATAACAGGCACACTGCCAAACAACCCCACTAGTGCCAGTCGCCATGAAACTACTAGTGCTAAAATGCTGCACGATGTTAGATTAGCCAAAGCGACTAAAAGAGACCCCAGAACTGTAAACAATATCTGAATGTGGCTCGTATGCAATGAAAGAGATGCTACAAGAGTTCCTTTCGAATTTTGTTCCTTGTCAAAGAAAAGATGATCCTGCCGTATCATGGATTTGAAATACTCAGTTTGGTAATAGAACTTCGTGGTAGTTCCCATTATTGAAGAAATGGTACCCATTAAGAAAAAGGCAATAATGACTCCGATAGCAACCACAAACCACATGAGAGACCAAAAGTTTTCCGTCTTCTGAATGTTGGAGTCGAAATTTCCCAGCCTGGAAACACTATGTCCAAAAAGAATTGCTTGGGCTGGGTATACGCCGCCTGCAATCACACATGTAGGTACCACCGCTACAAAAAGTCGCATGAGTACTCGATGGTCCAGTAGACTTATCCATAAAGATCGGAATAATGAAGACCTTGGTGGATCCAGCGTCATAGGGGTAGACATGCCGTCAAAAGTTTTCATCGGCTGCGCCGTCTCATCAAGTTGCAACTTGGTGGCATCGATTTTTTTGTCTTCTTGAATTTCAGATTTTTCGCCTGGCTGATCGGTGTATTGAATTGCCTCGTCGAGCCTTTGCGCCTCATCAAGTTGGGCATATTTACCGTTCATTGCCAGTAAAGATTGATGTGTGCCGCTTTCAAGCACCCTTCCATTTTTTAACAAGACGATCTGGTCCGCTTTTTGAACAAGGGATAGCTTGTGTGTTATGACAATACTCGTCATACCTATTGAAACCTTTTTTATCGCTGCCTCTACGATCCGCTCCGATTCTATGTCCAAGCCCGACGTTGCCTCGTCGAAGATCAAAATTTCCGGAGACGATATTATAGCTCGAGCTATACTGATGCGTTGTTTTTGGCCACCACTGAGGAGATTTCCTTTGTCTCCCACCTTAGTATCATACCCATCGGGTAAGCTTTCAATGAAGGCATGCGCTCCGACATCCATGCAGCTCTTGACTACCAAGTCTCTCTTGTCCTTGTCAGATGAATTTTCGAAGGACGTGCCATAAAGTCCGCAAGCAACATTGTAGAATATACTATCATTAAAAAGCGTAACTTCCTTATGGACAATTAGAAAATTTCAACTAGTCTTATTAAAAAGCAAGAGACATACCTGCTGCACAAGTCCAATTTTGCTTCGCAATGATTTCACATTCAGTTCATTAATAGCAAATCCATCAATCGAGACGGTGCCTCGTGTTGGCTCATACCATCGCTCAATTAAACCAACAATTGTGCTTTTTCCAGAGCCACTGGTGCCAACTAGAGCTGTCATCTTACCGGCCTCAAAGCGAATATTCAAGGAATCAAGTACATTAACAGAAGGCCTGGAGGGTAAAAGTAAGAGATGTCATGCAATCTAATCTCGCCCTTGATACTTTCAAGTATTACATCGCCACTGTTAAGGGAGTTAATTGTTGGCGTGCTGCTGATCACTTTATTCAGGTTTATTGAGGCTGCTCTCGCCTTGGAGAGGATTCCATAGATCGGCAAAATCTTTCTCATACCATTTGTCCCTTGATTGATAGAAAGAATCACGCTATTAATAACGTTAGTGAAAACAACTAAAATCGGGTCACAATTGAACATACATGACAATTGTTCCACCGCTTGATATTTTCCCCTGATTTAACAAAATCGTTCCATACCAAAATGCGAGAGCATAAGAAGAGAGTAGAGCAAAGTAGCTCATCGAGAACTGCACTGCAAGTATGGGACTCTTCTGCATTCTTTTTATCCTGGCAGCTTCGAGAATTGCGGTGTAATCATCAACAAGCTTCGATTCCGCAACACAAGCCATTACCATACGTATGCCGTTGAACACTTCTTCCGCCAAATTCGCAGCGCTTTCCTCAATTTGCTGTATTTTCTGCTCGAAACGTGTATCCAGAGCAGCGGTACCAAAGTTACTAATGAACAGAAGCACAATTGTAGAAAAAAGGACCAAAGTGAGCTGCCAACTGTGTACAAAGGCAATGATCAGGGAAACAATGACAGTTGAACCTGCTTGCATGACAACCCCAAGCTTCTCAGCCAATGCATCCTCAATACTATTGATACTCGTAGCAAAATTGTCGGCAACTTTTCCTTGGCTTACTAGTCCCGTATCTTGATGGATAGCTGACTTCAGATACGATGCTCTCAGTCTCCTGGAACGATTCATTGCAGATATTGATAGTAAAATACCATAAACGCAGGTAAGAAACCATTGACCAATAAAAAGGTACAACAAGTACAAAACTTCAGAATCAACAGTTTCTTTCAGAGCAGAAGCATCTTGGAAATTGTTGAATTTGTTTGCTAACCCTCCAAAAATCAGGGGCATTAATGGCCTTGCTGTTCCAGCACCAATTGCTGCTGCAATTCCCACGAGCTGGAGAATATCCACAGACCATCTTGATGCATCAAAAGAAGCCGGCCACAAACGACCCATCACTTGAGCTCTGGGTATAGCCGTATCGTGGCTAATAGTTGCCATCAAGCCTCTGTATCGGATGAGTATCGTGAATCAAAACAAAAGATAAGAATGTGCTACAGAATTTTTTAACAGGGAAACGAAATGATTTCTTTCGCCCCAAAATGATTGGACATGTTCTTAACAATCTGCTGGACTGCTGGATATATTATGAAGACGCATAGCGGACGTATAGTAACATAAGCATTATAATCTGCGGCGTATAAACTAATATCTGGTTCTGATCTTGGTACCTTTTAAGATAACCCAATCAAAGAAAATTTAATCACCACCTCCGATAGATACCGTTCTAACATCACATATAGGAATACAATTGGTGCGGAGAAAAGGTATGTCAAATGTAGCAGTTGGACTTTGTTTTTGTGGTTGAAGATGCCTGTAGTTTCTACTTCCATATATGGTGTGATACATATGTACCGCAAAGTTCTAGATTGAATTACAAATCAAGATCATGATGATTTTGCCGAAGCATTCAACCAACTCAAATCTAACCACGAACAACCAATCAAAGGCAAATTTCGCCCCGCCTCCACTCATCTCACTCTCTGGATCGCCAAAATCTATTCATCCGCATCGGACAAATCATCATTATAGGCAAGAATCATGTTCAGAACCTTGTCGCTCGCAACAGCCGCCCTAGGGGTCACATCTGCCGATTCCGGCACAGACAAATCGTCGTTGTAGGCCAAGATCATACTCGAAACTTGCTCGCTTGGGGCAGGAATTCTGCTTTTAAGTTGAGCTGCCGCGGCCTCGTCTTTAATGTGTTAGCAACGCGTCGACGGCTCCAAATCAGTGATAGCCGGCAGACATGTACCTTTAGTCAAGATAGGAGCACCCAAAACTGCCGGGACAATGGCAAAGAGGCCGATTACGAACGTGAGTTGCATTGTGAAAGACCCGGGTATATTTGGGCGGCGAAATTGGCGTCTGAATGGAGTGAGGAAGGGTTGAGAGCCGGCTCGTTATGTGTAATGTTTTGATGTTTCGAAGTGCACAAGAAACCGAATATGATCGGTCTTTATATATCTATGGGTTTGAGTTCCTATACCATACTGGCTGGTCAATTATCCAATGATACCCCACGAAATCTGAACTCGATTACAGCGCGCCGATATGCTCCATGGCAATATCCGTACCAGGACTGATGGAGGTATCAACCCGACTCAACTCCACCAGGATTGAAACCACAGGTGGAAGTCGTGTCCTCGCAAGCTTCTTGGCTCTTACTTTTAGCTGCTCATGTAGAAGGTCTGAAGTTCACTGCGAAGCAATCGTGTCCAAAAGATTTCTTACCCCTCATAATTCATTTCAATATGTGGACGGATAATATCCAATAATGGAAATCTGCACTGAACTAAACGATCGGATACCATAGCATCTACCAAGTGGCAGAGAAGCTGTGGGGCCGATAACTGCGAGTGTGATGATAAGAATTTCTCGGTCCGGACCAAATTTCCGCTCTTGATATTCATTGCCTATGTACAGAACCGCTGCAAGAGGAAACTCAAGTCTGAATAACGATTAGAACTCTTGGCCTTCTTTCTACCTTCATTTTCCATGTTTTTGGACAATGCCCTACGTTGCAAAGCTGATTGTGTTCTCGAGCGCTTTTTTGCTATCAAGTATTATATCAAGTTATTTTGATTCGTCAAAAAGAAAATCTCCCGATTTCAACACAGTTGCCAGCTACTGGTCACTTGATTTTTAAGTTTAAACTCACGTTTTCGACCTTTTCTTTACTTTGACAACTCAGCTGCGATAAAATGGAAAGAGAAAATCTCCTTTTTTCTTCGGACGAAGCTCGTTGTAGTGACGAAGAAGCTACACCAAGTCTGGCCGACTTGCAGCAGCATAAGACATCTAAATTTCAAAAGAAATGCGGGGGACGAAATGTCGTCTTTCGGAGAATTTTACCATGGGTGTTACATCTAGCCCTGCTATCTACATCACTGGGACTCCTTATAAAGACTCTCCTCATACAAAGGTCTTTACCTGCGATTTGCGTAGAGGATAGACTCCAATGGAGTATGTGCGACTTGGAATTGCTACCGTTCATGTGCGCCGTGCTAACCAATCACAGCCATCACCATGGATTCTGTTCCCGACACTCATCACTTTGAGCGCTTGGTTGGTAATTTCAATCGATCCTCATCTCCTTACAAAGGGCCTCCATCGCCAGCTGTTGATGCCGCATGGGCCGAGTTGACCGACTGTAAGACCTTCACATAAATCTCCTTCCTTGAGTCTGACATATGACGATAGATGGCGCAATCAGCATATCAGAGGAGACTTTCGGGAAGTTAAATGCTTCCAAAAATGCCGTAAGGGTTCCAGCCGAATATGGAGGTGGCAGACTAGCTTTTGTGGAAGCTATTCATCAACTGCATTGCTTGGTAAGTTGGTTATAATCACCTGTTCTAACATATAACATTACTTAGCGATTGAATACAGGAGTCACTGTGGCGACATACATATCCAGCTTATTATAAAGAAGCCGCAAGAAAAATCGAAATAAATGATCAAGAGTGGCACGACCATATGGGTGGGTGCTCCTGTCTTACTTGGACAGCTGGTTCTTCATCTTATGCTAACGATACAATGAACTTTTAGATCACTGCGTGGATATGTTGCGTCAAAAATTAATGTGCGATGCCGATGTACATCTGGTCACATATAACTGGCTGAAAGGCCACGATGCTCCGCATCCCAATTTCAATACGGCAAGGCAATGTCGAAGTTTTGAAGCCGTCAAACAGTATGTCATGGACAATGCCCTCGATGGCTCTAACCTACCTAAAATGTACTTTGAAAAGCCCAAGGACGGTTCTGTAATGGAGTACGAGGAACCTCCATACGATCCTCTTGCCGATGGATGGCCATCAAGCCACCACTAAAAGACTGCTGCGTACATTCAGATGTTCTTTTACTCTGAGAAGCACCGCGCACTTTCTGCTCTGTACATAGCACTTTACCTTGGACGGTACGGACCGTTTGTGCATGAAACCTTAGGTTCCACAGATCTTTGCAATCCTTGCGTGCTCGAACAGGGTGTTCGGAATCTGCGTATCCGTCATTAGCGATCCTCCTTCAATAGGAAGCTGGAATTGTCGGCACGAATGGTCTGAGCTTTGGTGACAATTTTGATGGCTCGAGGAGTCGAGGGGCGCCAGAATTTTGATAACACCATCTGCGGGCACCCAATCAAGTCGAAGAATGATCTTTTTATATCCTAGGCAATTAACAAATTTCTACAAAGATGGGGGATCCTTGCCCACGCTCGCGAATGGTACAAATTCTGGCTTCTCCGGCCTCAACCCTGGTGCGTGCAGATAACAGAGTCGTAGGTGGCACGTGCTCGTTTCGGAGTTATAACCCAAAAAGTATTGTCCTGACTACCTCTTACTTTGACGCCGTGTATACATACCCAATTAATGGCTTTCTTGCTGAAATGTTCTCAAATATGGGGTTGCGTGTTCAATGGCTGCTGATGACCATATTTCGTTTCGAGATAGATTATCTCCGGCCCCAGAACATATGACCTTCCAAACAAAGAAGTATCAGCAGATCTTCAACATCCACAATTCGTGTGTCTGGAATATACCGCGCCGCTCAAATTCGATTGAGCGGCACAGTACATGGATAGTTTGCAGGTAGCTAGATGTGGCAGAGAGAAACACTTACTTGTTCAAGCTTGCAAAAAAAGGTAGCTCCAGGTGTAGATCTGCCCAAATACTGGAAGTCATCCAAACGAACGAAAACAGGTCTGATTTAGTAACCCTCGCTCCCCATCTTTGAGCTGAGCCCTTCTTATATTGGAAGCATAGATTGCTATTTCCTTGCATCAATTGTCAAATTTAGAATGCATACTGGGGTCGATATCACACAACAACGATGCACACTGAAGAACGGGAAAGAAATTGCAGGATATTATTCAATTTTCTTGAAGATTTTTTTGCAGCAGGACAAGGGAGGCAACAGGCGGTACATTTCTTACACCCGTGATCGTAAGATGGAGTTAAGAAGATGAGGGGAGCGCTCATCCTACAAGGAAGCGTATTCTCCTCACACGTACACTGGCTAAGTTCGTCGACACCTCATTTATGAAATCTGGAGTCGTACTCCGCTCCCATCATTTTGCACATATCTTATATCCATAGCCGAAACCCAGAGCTATGGTTCTAGTTGTTCCACTCGAGAATCTGAATGTATAGTAGCCGCATCCTAAATTGATCCGTCGAGTACGCAATGCTAATCGTATTGGCAGGCGCTGGCATGGACCCTATTCAGTATCTCGACTGTGCTCACATTTGGCCGTTTCTACATCAGATGGCAAAAAGGAAAGAGTTTGCATCTAGATGACATATTTAATGCATTGGCTCTTGGATCCTTACTTGCTTTTGCCATCACATATCAGGTTTACCTGCCTATCCAATATAATTACCAACTATATGCACTCGGTCTCGGAGGATATCTTCCCAGCGACGATCAGTTGATGTATGCACAAAACGTGGGCATCGTCAACATTGTTTTCTTTTGGGTGACCATATACCTTGTGAAAGCATCTTTCTTAGCTCTTTACTGGGCTCTATTCTCGGTATCCAGCGCCTTTCGAAAATGGTGGCTAGCAGTCGCAATCTACACAGGGATTTCGTTTCTCGCAACTTTTTTCGCCATTTTTTGGTCATGTAAAACTCCCAGCCTACTTGAAGATCTTGGTATGATATTCCCATCTAGTAACGTTGAATTCAACTAACAAACCTAAAGAAGCATGCAATACCCTATCTGAGGAGCTCATCATTGGCCTCGAAACTTTGTGGTGTGTTCTCAACACAGTGGGAGATATATTGAGTACGTCAAAAGTCCCAGCATTTTCGATCAACGCAGCTAACAAAGTCTTCCCCCAGCGATGACATTACCTTTAGGTATGCTACGCGCAATGCACATGCCCACATCTCGAAAACTAGGTGTGGCAGCTATCGCCGGCCTAGTGATCATCGACATACTTTTTGACATCCTCCGAACCATCTACACCGTCGGAAGCTACACGAGCTCATTCCCCAATGCCAATGCAGTCTGGGCCCTTTGCGAACCCACCATTGCCGTAATGGTATGTGCACTGCCCCCATATCGAACATTACTTTTTAGAAAAAAGATCGATCCTTCGACTTCATATCAGGGAATGCATGGAACGAGGAGTACTCGGAAAACCAAGTCTGGCAATACTTCAAGGCCTCATGAAATGGATGATATGAGTGCGTATAGTCTGGCTTCTACTCGATCTGTGTTGGGACACCACGCGTATGTGCATGCTGTTTGATTGAACGCCGAGATGTACGCTTGTAGAATATAATTGGTTCTACTTTTTGGAAACACGTGTTTGTGCTTTTGGCAAAGGTGGCTCATGAAGATTGGAACACGAAATTGTAGTTTAGCTGTATTTGAGGGATAAAATATTCGAATCTCCGTAGCATGGAATATAGTCATGTTTATATACTACCCATAATGTTCAGCAGTCCAGATAGAATTTCTCGGTAGTTCGTGATGAGCATAGCCGAAATTACCAACACAAACAGAGATCAATTTCCCAAAGAATCAGATCATGTCAAGTGAACTATGCTACATAGCCAATCATAGTATGGTGATAAGTCAGAAATGCAATAGTTGGTGTGTCCCACAAAAGTCCCGTATGTATTTATAGTGTACCTAGACCCTACTAGTTTCATCGAGTCCAAGTACAACATCGATGCAGTAAATGAGCCCTGAAAACTCGACACGCACAGCAACATCAAAAATCACCATGGTGACCGTTGCAATTATTGGAGCCGGCCCAGCAGGTCTTGTTGCCGCAAAAACACTCCTCAAGTCATCTGCCAAAGATTCCATCTTCAAAGTCACAGTATTCGAGCAGGGGACCGACGTTGGGGGCCTCTGGGCTGTGGAATCAAATCCTAATGGAATCATCAATCCTGAAATGCATACCAATCTTTCGCAATTCACCGTCTGTTTTTCTGATCTTGCCTGGGATTCGGTGGATACACAACCTCCAGCTACTATATATCCTAAAGCGTGGCAAGTCCATCGATACTTGAAGGAATATGCTGCAAGATATATTCCAGCTGGTATCATTGCTTTAAAAACCTACGTCAAAGTGATTGAACACATACAAACTTCTCCAGAGGAGGAGACCAAGAAATGGAAAATTACAAGCATCGCGCTCGAAGGAGGTACTCCCATCGAAAAGATTGAGATATTCGACTACCTGATCATTGCATCTGGATTTTTTTCCCAGGCGAGAAAAATTCCATTTCCATGCACCAAGCTGATTCAAAAACAAGAAAGCCAACCATCTACCATCCTCCACAGCTCTCAATACCGGCAACTTTCGGACCTCTCACCCACCCATCCAGAACCCTTGCCAGGAAAAATTCTCATAATCGGGGGCTCCCATTCCGGCGCCGAAGTAGCATCTCTAATCGCCATGCACATATCTGACGTGCAGTATTCACCTTCTGGAACGGGGACTGGGACTGGGACTGGGACTTCCCCGCCAGAAATCATACACGTGATGCCTCATCCCCTCGTTTCCATACCGTCATTTGTTCGCAGCGGAAATGAAAAACTCCCTTCATTTGTGCAATTGGATTCGCGTCTGTACGATCTCTCTTCGCGACCGGAGGGACCCATTTCGTTTACTTTTGGACTTTCGAATCCGGAGAAGAGGAAGAAGTTGAGAGATACGCTTAATATGCTTATGTCTGGGACAGTGGATGTAGAAAATGAGGATGGATCGAGAGAGAGCGATGGAGTTTGATTTGGGAGCTCCGTATGCGGTTGTAGGTGACAAGTATGCGGAATTCATTAGGTCTGGTGCGATTAGGCAAGTGTTTGGTCGGATCACTCAGCTCGAACAGCAATCAGTAAGTCAACTCTATTGTTTTCTCCATAAAACCATATCTGACACGTGAAAGCAGAATAAAAATCTAATACTCGCAACCATTGAATCGCAATCCAAGCAAATCAAAATAGATGAGATCGCAGCCGTTGTGTACGCGACGGGATTTTCCACCTCACCAGCGTTGAATTTCCTCCCAGACGAGATTAAAGAAAGCTTAGGCTATAATGCCTCATATCCCCGTCTTCCTTTACTGTTAAGTGAAGATTGTATGAGCAGCTCTAGAGATTCACCCAGCAACTTAGCACTCATGGGATTTTTCGACGGTTCCTATTGGGGAATTTTGGAGAGTCAAGCGCGCGTGATCGCGAAGAAATGGGGGGCACAAGGCAAGGAGCTTTCTTCTGCTACTCAGGATCATGATGGAACAGATGAGGATGGTTCTTCGAGACTCCGTGTTTTTATGGAAGAATTAAGGATTATGATGGAGAAAGACCCATCATCCGTCCCCCAAAATTTCTTCAGTGATTACCCCGGCTTAATGGAAGAAACCTCTCGAAAACTAGGGCTTCAGAAAATAAACCTATCATGGAGCGAAAGAGAAGGAATGGTGAGTCCAGCTCGCTACATCGATTCACAGTGTACTTCCATCGAATCCGAAAAAGCCATGCAAAAACTACAAAAAACACTCCAAGATTCCCGGGACGGAAAAGCCATTTTCGCTAAATCTACTTTCCGTGGTCTCCAAGGAAACTGGAAGGCCTTCCACACCAACCCCGAATCTCTCGAATCCTCTCCCAAGAGCTCGAGCGCGAGCGCATTTCATCCCCGCTACCCAACAGATACAACTTCAGATCTCGAGTATCTCTGCATCACACAGTGTGAAGAACCCAGCCCTCCAATTCCTCGAACCATCTACCGCCTCCGCGAAAGCGCAAATCAAATCGAGATTTGGAGTGTAGATTCGAAAAGCGGATTGGCAGCTGATAAGATATGTTATATTCTTGATTTTAACGACGGAATCGTCGAAGATCAGACAGATGTGAATCGAGCTACTGTTGTAGCTAAAGGAATTCCTGATGCAGATTTGAGACGGAAAATTATATACTCATTCTGTTTTGCGGGGGTGGGGGTTACAGAATTCAAGATTAAGTATTTTGATGAGGAGGATGTTAAGATTGATTCTGGCTTTCATTTTGTGAGATGAATTTTCCAGGAAAGGGGGGGGGGGGTCTTGATGTGTATTATAAGATTTGTAATTATGTAGTATATCATATATACCCTCATCATCCTCCCATATAATCCCGGAAAACCCTCAAGAAATAATCCACATCTCCCTTCAAGCCCATTTTTCACTTACTTATTAGAGTACCTAATTCTTGATATAACTGTACTCGAGTATTTTTCGGTCCATTGATTCAAGGGCCATGAAGGGGAATATCTCATACTGATTCTATGCCTCAACTCCTATACCCGCTATCCAAGTTAGGAATATAAACAAACGTGATATAATAGGTACATAATCCAAAAGATAAAAAAAAAATATATATATACAACCAAGAAACCCTCAAAGCTCTGCAATCGACTCGATTAACCTTATATTATCGTATATACTATCAAAACAATGGCAACTAACAACCGTATACACACAAATAACCCTTCAAAAAATAATATCAGACCCCAAATCCGATTTCTCAAAAGGATTACTATTAAAATCTTATAACGTGATTTATCATCGAGTGGACCATATCATCGAGTGGACCACTTCAAAATACACCAAAATTAGTCTTTTCCTAATATTTATATTTTAATAATTAATCAATATTTTTTTAAAAAAGAAAAAATATCTATTAATAAAAAGAAACTTCTTATTAAAAAATCGAATTTTTATATAAAAATTTCTATTGTATTTTATAAAAAGTGGAAATTGTCACGATTTTCGTTACAAAAAAAACTATTCCTATAATAACTACTGTATTGATTCAAATTTTTGATAAATAATTAGAATTTTATAATACTTATATAATCAAATTTTATAATTTCAAATTTTGAAAATTTATATTATTAAATAAAGAAAGTGCACGGTTACGCACAGACGAATTTTGTATGTATTTGTAGTGGCCCACTCGATGATATGGTCCACTCGATGATAAACTACGTTACTAACTTAACAAGATATGAAATAATACCAATTACAACCCGCAAAGACCATCTTTCCACAAACCTTTTGAAGCGATAAAACCGTCTCGACTCGAAGTTATGTTATCGGACGAAAAATTCGAATTTATCATGAGTTTAAAGATTATAGTGTGAACAAAATTCAATGATATATAATACCTATTAGATTGGATGAATGAATGTACTGACTGGAAGTGCCAAGGAGGAAAGATTGACAACATCTCATATACGTCGTATATCCGAGAACTTCGGTAACCCACCCGAGCCACCTTCCTTTCCCCAAAATATTATATCTTCTCTTCAACAATTCTTTTCGCCCACGTTTTTACCCTCTAGATATCAGATATCCCTCCAAATTTTAATTCTCGAACGGACACCTCTACGTACAATGCATCCAGTGTAAGCAATCGGAACAAATCCGCCATGGACTAGAAATTCTCTCCCGCGGACCCGAACTCCCATCCTTCCTCCACCACTCGTAGCTCCGAAGCCGTAGAATCCCCGCACAACGTGTACATGGGGACCTGCGTTATCGTCAATCTGCGCGGATGCGCAAATGCTTTGTAAGAACCGCCTGGGGGTTTAGAAATCTACATATGCGGCTTATTTATTCACGAGTCAATATTTTATTGGATTGGGTACGGAGATGTATGTTTGATTTATAATTGTCCGGTGCTGTCGAAATTTTCCACGTTGTTTGATTTTGATTTTGATTTTGTGAGCGAGTTGATATCATTGTTGTTTGAGGGTATCGTTTTCGTGTGTTTGTTTTGTGGAATTTGCCAGGAACGGCGTGGGATTTGATCAGCAATGGGCTCCCCCGATTTCGCAGCAGCTTCTGCGCCTCGCCATTCTTCTCATGGTGATGATGAGAAGACAGCATATGCTGCCCCCGTTACATATCAAAATGAAGATGTTGACATCGATGAAGCGTCCAGGAAGAATTTGGAAAGGAGATTGGTGAGGAAGGTGGACTGGAGATTGTGTACGATCGCTGGAATATTGTGTAGTTTGAATTTGATGGATTCGGGAATCATTAGTTCGGCCAGTGTCGCAGATGATTTCTTCACGGATCTGGGTTTGGGAGTGGGAAACAGATATGTAAGTTCCTGTACTCTGTCAATTGATTTTGTTCTTGCGTACTGATAGTATATACTGTAGTCTGTATCAATCTTAGTGTACACAGTGGCAAGTGTAACATTTCAGTTGCCAGCTACGCTGTGTGTGAGGATGTGTGGACCAAGATTTGTATTCTCGTTGATTACGATTGGGTTTGGTATTATAACATTGGTATGAAAGACTCCGAGTCAATCCCATGCTTGATCTATTTGAAGAAGGAAATTCTAATGACATGGCAAAGTGTACGGCTTTCATCAATACCTGGCAGCAGATGGTAGCCCTTCGTCTACTCCTGGGAATTGCTCAATCTGCTATCTTTCCCGGATTGAGCTACCTTATTTCAACTTGGTATACTAGAAAAGAACAACAGCTTCGTTTCGCTTTTTTGCAGACGGGCGAAGTTATTGTTGTTGGTCTGGGCATTTTCCTTAACTATGGTGTGAACCATTTGAATGGTAAAGGGAGCTTGGCCGGTTGGAGGTGGATGTTTCTAGTGCAGGGTTTGCTTGCTATAGGTATGTTACTCCGATGAATGGCCCGGTGTCGAAAGCTAATTTGTTGATAGTTGTGGGATGCGCAACCTATTTCTGGATGGTGGATTTCCCAGAAAATGCTCATAAAAGTTTTCGTTTCTTGTCGGCCGAAGAGCAAAATCTGGCACTGACAAGAATATCTGACGATCGAGGCGACGTGAAGGCCGAGGAGTTCTCGTTAGGAAAATGTATTATCCATTTTCTAGATCCAAAGATCTACGGTTTCTGTGCTTTGCTTTTTTGCTTGAACTTGGTATCGACAAGTAAGTACCAACTACCAGTAACATCATTGGGACTAATATGCTAACTCCACCCAAAGGCATGTCTTACTTTTTACCCATCATTCTGAAAACTGGAATGGGATTTTCTGAGGACAGTTCCATCATGTTATCAGCACCACCATATTTCTATGCTGTGATTCCCGTCATTATCTCCTCAATAGTTGGTGATCGCTATCAACTTCGAGGCTTGGTCATAATTTTCAATTCCATCTGTACGATTGTGGGTTTCTGCATGTTGGGATTCGCTAGTCAAGACACTGCTCGATATATTGGAACATATTTAGCGACAGGAGGTTATGTGTCAAACTGGGCGGCAATGAATGCATACCAATCATCCAATATTGTCGGACAGTGGAAAAGAGCAACCTTTGCGGCTGCCGGAACTGCCTGTAATGGATTGGGAGGAATTGCCGGTGCATTCATCATCAGGTATAATGAGGCACCTCGATATCTGACAGCAATCTGGGTCAGTATTGGCTCTCAAATTTTCATTATTTCCATTGTGGGCATTTTCTCGATATATTTTTGGTATGCCAACGGCCGACAGAGAAAGGGGATGGTCTTACTAGAGAGGACTATGAACTTCAGGTATACTTATTAGAATCTGATAATGTAATGTTGGGTTACTTGAAGGAAGATTTCACAATCTCAACGCCCGTATTTTGAAAGATCTCATAAAGTAGCTAGCTATATATACTCTGAACATACAACTTCTCAAAGAACCTAGCACTACGAACAGTTGACGTATTCGATGAGTACCATTTCTATGACCACAAGAGAATGGGTATTCACTGCTGGAAATCGACTATTGGGACCAACTTCACAACGCCTATATCAGCTCAACTCTGTAAACCATAGTTCATCGGATGTTGTCTTTTCGAACGAACTTATGAAAGCAATACTCATATTGACTTCCAAGTTGTTGGCAGGTTCAATGTGTATTCAATGTGCGTTCATACCCCAGTAAAAGTTACATGATACAGTTCATGCTTGATCGTCCATCGAGACACCCCAAGATTTAATGCATGAATCTTGACATGCCAATGCCTGACGTACAGTATCGTTATGTACCATGTTGACTGACGTAGCTGGTGGATGCACCTCAACCACGTCTGTTTATCTCGATGTTTGGTGAACTGGTGAAGAGAAGAGATAAGTAGTAGCATTCTTCAACATGATTGAAAGAATTTCGACTCGAGGTACTCGAGCAACAATTGGTGAATTAGTAATTAGATGCTGCACTCTAAAATGTTTCAAGACTTGTTATGCAGAGCGAACGAACCGCTATGATTTACATTAAACAACCTTATTAGCATTACCTAGCATCTAGATGTGACCCTAGATACGGAAGTTGCCTAAGACCAACTACGCAACATCATTTCCTATCAACTCACCTCGCAATAACCAATCCGTGTTCACACTCATTTGTTGAAGCTGCCTAGGTATTGCTCCTAAGATCTTAGAATATTCATTTGCTTCGGTATCATTTAATCATTCGGCATACATAGACCACAACTCCATCAGCCCAATAGTCCAATACAACTTTGTCACTTGTTCAAAACGGCAAGCTCATCCAAATCTGGGTAAATCCGGCATCGCGAACTTGGAACTACTGAATTTCCGAAATTACATGGGGCAGTCGTTAGACCACTTCGCAGGACGATAACAATTTCGAAACCGAGCAGGAGGAGTATTCCCCTCGTAGCAACCTTGCAGACGAATTATACAAGATGGGTTTCCTGGGTGTTTATACCGCAGTATATGATTATGTTCCGGCAGGTGAGGGAGAACTTACCATCAACGAAGGTGATATCCTCTATGTGCTAGAGAAGAGCACAGAAGACGACTGGTGGAAAGCAAAGAAGAAGGCCTCTGCAGACGATGAGGATGAACCCGTGGGATTAATCCCAAATAACTACATCCAGGAGGTATGGATATTCAATTTCAATCTGCGATTCATGACAATGGCAATAGGGGATCAACATACCCGTTCAAATGAAATTATGATGATACTTGGTTTATCGACGATGGCGCAGCATATGTTAACTTCTATCTCTGTAGGCAGTACCATCTAGCAAAGCTAGAGCTCTCTACGA